CGATATGTGTGTTTTCTGTCACTCATAATAGGTTAATTAAGTAATGTATACGGATCCTCAGGCGCCGACGTATACTGCCTTGATTGACAGTGACGTATGGTGTTACCCATTTAGATGCTGCAATGCCGTATTACTTGAAGGTAATGTTCGTTGTTCAAGGCCACGTATTAATTAATCAAACAAACGTTTATTGATAAGAGTGTGATGCTGCTTCTTGTTTTATCCCACAGATGGTTATCTAGTATTGCAACTAATCCATGGGGCTTTTAAATCACACAGCTGGACAATACAATATGCTATAATAACGTTAACAGAAGACGCTTTTAAAATTAAAGAAAGACTAAAAACAGACGATTAAGAAATATGGCATTTTGTCACATACTCTGAGTTTGTGTGAGCGTGTGTGTGTGTGTGTAGTGTGTGTGTGTGTGTGTGTGTGTGTGTGTGTGTGTGTGTGTTGCTTCGGGGTTTTTTTTGTGTGGCTGTTTGTTTTCCTTTGGTAATTTTGTTTTGGTTGTGTGTGTGTGTGTTTTTGTGTCCTGTTATATTTGTGTGTGTGGATGTTTGTTTTCCTTTGGTAATTTTGTTTTGGTTGTGTGTGTGTGCGTTTTTGTGTCCTGTTATATTTGTGTGTGTGGCTGCGTGTGTTTGTAGTTTGTTGTTATTTGTGTATATGTGTATGTGTTTTAAAGATATTTGTGTGTGCGTGTTTTTGTTTTGTTGTTATTTGTGTCAGTGTGTGTTTGTGTTTTGTTTTTATTTGTGTTTTTGGTTACTTGTGTTTTGTGTTATTTGTGTTTTGTTATTTTGTCATTTGTTTTGTTGTCATTTGTGTGCGTTCGTGTTCGTGTTGTTTTTTCTGTGTCTGTGGGTGTGTATGTGTTTGTTTTCTTGCTCTTTCTGACTGTGTGTTTTGTATCTGTGTATGTGTGTGCGATGAAGCGGAGTCCGTATTCTATAGCATAAGCAATTTTAATACTGTCCTGGTTCCATGGAAATCAGTGAAGCATATCGTACAGTCGGTTTCTTCCGGGTCCACTTTGAAGTAAATAGAAATTCGGTATCAACACACAAGGCGTCCTTTGCGACCAGACTCACCGTCGGGGTAGGATACGTTTCCCTGTTCGCCCCTTGGCATTCTCACCAGAAGGTTATGTGAAAAAATACACCTCGCCAGGATTTCCCGTCTTTTTGAGCATGCAAAAACCTAATTCATCCGCTACACTGGCGCCACGATATATGAAGTTTCGGTTACAAACCAGATCATCTTGACATTCATATCAGCTGGTCCCCTTTGACTGTTGCGAATAGACTCCTACGCTACCACACCGTCTGTCACTCAAAGTACCGATGTTGACACCGCTCAGAACCAAACTCTATTGATCTGTCTGTAAAGCATTCGTTCACACGTCTTAAGGCAGGCAACCTGCTGAAAAACGTTCATTTCTAAACCTTTGAATTTTACCTAGGAAATCAACCCGTGAACATCCGGGTTAGAATTTGTCTTCTGGAGCGGGTGGTCAGACTGGCTGACTTGATTGATACATGTGATCGTATCATGCTGTTTAACACTGGATTGTCTGGTCCAGACTTGATTATTTACAGACCGCCGCCATATAGCTGGAATATTGCAGAGTGCGGCGTTAAACAACAAACAAACAAACGAATCCCTAGAAATCATTTGTTTAAATACAAAGTGGTGTCAGGGACGGAGTACGAGAAATAGTGAAGGGTTTTGTGGGTGGTGTCGGGTGTGTCAAGGCCAAACCTTATTATTTTGGTCCTCTTTACACAGGCAAAGTCGTCTCGTTTCTAAACCCCTCCAGAAGAGGGGTTTGTTTCTGGGCCTCCTTCCACAAAGCGCTAAGGTGATCGTAAGTCACTAAGGTAACCTTAGTGCAATGTTAAAGAATGGGAGTTAAGGTTAACCTTAGTAAAGGTTGCTTCGTGAAAGGAACCCCTGGTCCTTACAGTAACAATCACTACAGCGACCAGTGCCTACACTGACTAACTTCTGCAATGGCAAATGGATACAGTGACAATGCCTACTCTGACCAATGACCACGGCAACTACTGCCTAGAGACACATGCTTATAGTGACAATGCCTTACGTGACGAAAGTCTGCAATGGCAATTGGATACCGTGACAATGCCTACTCTGACCAATGACCACAGCAACTGCTGCCTAGAGACACATGCTTATAGTGACAATGCCTTACGTGACGAAAGTCTGCAATGGCAAATGGATACCGTGACAATACCTACTCTGACCAATGACTACAGCAACTGCTGCCTAGAGACACATGCTTATAGTGACAATGCCTAACGTGACTAAAGTCCGCAATGGAAAATGGATACAGTGACAATACCTACTCTGACCAATGACCACAGCAACTGCTGTCTAGGGACATATGATTATAGTGACATTGCCTTACGTGACTAACTTCTGCAATGGCAAATGGATACCGTGACAATACCTACTCTGACCAATGACTACAGCAGTTTGCCTAGAGACACGTGCTTATAGTGACAATGCCTTACGTGACTAAAGTCTGCAATGGAAAATGGATACAGTGACAATACCTACTCTGACCAATGACTACAGCAACTGCTGCCTAGAGACACGTGATTATAGTGACAATGCCTTACGTGACTAAAGTCTGCAATGGAAAATGGATACAGTGACAATACCTACTCTGACCAATGGCCACAGCAACTGCTGCCTAGAGACACGTGCTTAGAGTGACAACGCCTTACGTGACTATAGTCTGCAATGGCAAATTCATAGACTTGACTCTCTAGACTTGTAACTGCACAGACTAGTGACTTCAAAATGTCCACAGTGACTAACGCATGCAGTACCTAATGCCTACTGTACAAGTGAGTGAGTGAGTGAATGTGTATATTCTTACGCCGCGTTTAGCAATATTCCAGCAATATCACGACGGGGGACACCAGAAATGGGCTTCACACATTGTACCCATGTGAGGAATCGAACACGTGTCTTCCGCGTGACGAGCGGACGCTTTAACCACAGTGCTACCTCACCGCCCCGCCTACTCTAACAATTGAATACGGTGATTCATGATGGTAACCAACAGTGTTGTTTTACGCCGCAATATTCCATTCGTTGTTAGAATGTATCTGAGATACTGGATCACACCACCACAACCAGGGCAAGAAACACGCTGACCTTGGTATAGTTGGATCAGACCCCATTATGACGCTATATTAAATCCACGGATATAACTTTGGTAACTCTGGTCCATAAGTAATGACCAGTTAGTGCAGCACGTACTGAACAGGTACTGTATGGCGCCGTTTTCCAATGACCATTTACAGAAGCAGTGGAGCGGCTTAAGCCCAACTATAAGGAAACTGCTTCCAACCATCTTGATGGTCAGGTCAAAATAGCAATATCAAGATTAGACTAAGCGTTAGAATCGAGAACCAACTAAAGGGAACCCTTCCGGAAGATTTATCACTGCTCTTTCCGTTTCAAAAAACATTTGCAAGGTCACCAGTCCGAGGGAGTAGGCAGAAGAAAAGGGCAATGATGTGAGATGCTTCGGGTGAGTTTTTGCATGAGAGATATACATGATTTGAAAAATAAGCTGGTTTGAAAGAAGTGACGTGATTAGTTATATGGTCGCAATAGAAACGCATTTGAGTGTGATTTTCTCAGTGAACAGAGCAATGAGATGAGATGCTTCGGGGTATCCTTGCGAGCGAAATTCATACTTGATTTAAAGTTAAGCTAGTTTGAAAAGAGAGGTGCATTTAGGCTCTATCCGAAAATAGTATCGTATTTGAGCGAGATTTGAGTGATATGTGTGAAGGGTAGCAATTGCAAGAATAATCACTTCTGAAAGTCTTTCCTCAAGTTGGATATACTTCGAAACATTTTTGGGAGTAGGTAAGTGAGTGAGTATGATGCTCGGCAATAGATGTATGAGCAATAATCTGTCCTTTAGTGAGTGAGTGAGTGAGTATGGTTTTACGCCGCTTTTAGCAATATTCCAGCAATATCACGGGGGGGGGGGGGGGAGGCACAAAAAATTGGCCCCACACATTGTATCCATGTGAGAATCGAATCCAGTCTTCGGCGTTACAAGCCAACGCTTTGACCACTAGGCTACCCCACCGCCCCAATCTGTCCTTTAAATCGAATACGTATATAGTGCTTTGTGTTGGATTTCCTTTGAATATGGAATGGGTTTTTACGCTCTTTTTGTTTGTCAGAAGTGGTCATAACTCATTAGTGGTGATGATGATGATGATGATGATGATGGGACTGGTGGTGGAGATGATGATGAAGACGAAGATGATGGAGCTGGTGGTGGAGATGGTGGTGAGGAAGATGATGAGTAGTCGTAGTAGCAGTAGTAGTTGTAATAGTAGTGAAAAGGTTCAACTCAGCTTCAGCCCGGGCCCACGAACTCCTTACAAAACTAGATATACACATTGCTGGAAGAATGTGTGTGTGTGTGTGTGTGTGTGTGTGAGTATGGTTTTAAACTCTTAAAGTAATAGACAAGTAATGCCTCGGCGGGGGACACCAAAAATGATCTTCAAACTTTGTAAGGAATCGAACCCGTGCAAACACCTTAACCACAAGACCACCCCGCCTCCCCGCAGCTGCCGACAAAGGGTTTAACTCCTTGAGAGATAGGATACATTCAGTCGGGCTCTCCACGGACCACAAAGCCTCGAATCATGTGTAAACAAACGGAGAATCACTTAACACTTCAACAAGTTGGTATTATCAAAATCGAACGCTCTATTACAGTTCCTTTTACACAAATTGCCATTACATATATGTCACTGAACATGATTTAACAGGAAAAATCAATCTTTAAGTATTTCGTAAGGAAGATGAATATTTGCCTTACAATATACATGTTAATCAGGGTGTATCGATCAAGCTGGTAATGGGGGTTCAATGTTTGCTATCAATCTGTCTGATTTAGTAGGTTTAATCGATCCTTGTTGGAGCATCAAACTAGGTGTAATTATGAATAGGAGCTGTGCGTGAAGCCGTGTGTCAATATGCTAAATGGTGATGAAGAGGACTTGACACCGCGATCTGGGAACTGTTCCTCCAGTACAAGAGGAAATGTAACATCGCACGACCCACTGGAGTGCTGCCTTACCTTGAAGCCCAGGTAAAACACTTTTTACATTACATTGATAGAACAGGGGAAAGTTTTGTTAACGCTAAATTGGCTTCTTCACGAATTTTCGGGTAATGATTTGGTTCGGAAGAGAATTTACTGCTACGGTGGTTTAAAAGGATATATTTTAGCTTAAAACCATCGTTTCAGTGCCGCTTTGATGGCTCTGTGTACTGGGAACTCTGTTCACTAGGCGACAGTAGCCCTACATGTACATCCATCGCCAGTATGATTTAGTATAATCTAACCAATTCATCTGGAATTGGTCATAAGTCGACTGGGCTGTCGTTGTGAAGGTCGTGGAACAAAGACCGATAGATGGAATGGGGAAAGGGATGATACGTAAATGTTCCACGCTTAAAACGTGGTATGGTTTGGCACAAAGTATAGATGGTCCTTAAAGAAAAGGCACCGCGGTTCCCCTAGGGTGGGTCGTTCAGGGCGGTGGGGTAGCCCAGTGGTTAACGCGTTCGCTCGTCACGCTGAAGACTCGGGTTCGATTTCCCACATGGGTACAATGTGTGAAGTCCATTTTTGGTGTCCCCCGCCGTGATATAGCTAGGATATTGCTAAAAGCAGCGTAAAACTAAACTCACTCACTCATAGCTCGTTCACCTTTACAAGGACTCCAGAAGACCCCAAAATGAATTTCTTTCTGCACACGTCAGGACTTCTTGATTGACTGAACATTTCCAATCTGGTAGAACAATGCATTCGAGTTATCGTGTTTGTGCATCTTTTCTGTTACACAAATCTTGCATCAATTTTGTTGCTTCATGACGATGTGTGGATTTAATAAAGCGATTGTTTACTGAAAAAGACCAGGTGCTTACAGTTGAATGCAGTGGCGATTCTATTGAGTTAGTTGTGTTAGACGCTGCTTTGAATAATATTTCAGGTATATCCCGGTCAGGGGCGTAGCTACCATTATTTAAAAAAGCCTGAGCTTACTCATGATTGTTGCTAAAAAGGTTGGACAAGCCCTCAATACTATCTAAAGGTAAATCTTTGCAACCTATCGGGCTTACACGAAAAAATTGGCTTGCTACGCGCCTGCCGGTGTTCAGCGTGATGTGAGAGAAACGCCCGGAGTGAGGCAAGTGTTAGATGTTTGCCACTTTGCCAAGAGCAAGGGTGCTGACAAAGCAAGAAACAAACCAAAGGCAAACTGAGAATCGATCCAAAGTTCATTGGTTAGTGAAACGGCTTTAAGACAACATGGCCACTTGGTCAGTACACGTGCTTCAGATTTAGTGCGGTCAGATGAATATGGTCTGGTTCCACTGCGGTTGACAGCATTGCAATGCACTTTGTCCAGCGTCAATGATTTTGGTGTAAACCCGCTTTGTAGAATATTTTCTTATATTACGGCGTACTGTCAGTTTAATGCCGGAAGAAAATCCAAAATGGTCGTAGGCGTTCAAGCTTGGTGCATATACCAAGGTTAATCATTTTGCAATTTGGAAATCGAAGTCCCAAACAACTAATAGACACGCCATTAAACTGTGAGATGTAGCAGGGCATGTACCATGTGTTATATTTGGGATTACACTTTCTTAGTAAAGTACTGATTCTAGTGCTTTTGTTGGGTTGAGTCCCATCCGGGATTCGAGCCCACACTCTCAGAGTCAGGCACCTATTCGCCAGCACAGAAATGGAATTCTGAAAACTGGTAGCCCAGACCACGGACTTTGTGTACCTCTCTGATAAGTGTAAATTGGCACGGCTCCCACGGCCTAGACTACCAGTTGTCGGATTTTCTTTGTGGAAGACAAGGATAGTTACTGGTTTACTAAAATATGCTACTAGAGATACTCTAATTTATGAAACAGGTTGGCAATTGTTAAAAGAGAGAAGAAGATGTCGTAAACTGTCTTTATTCTATAATATCTACAACAAAAATGCTCCATCCTACCTTTGTGATCTCATGCCTCAAATTGTTGAATCTAGGACAAAATATAATCTTAGAAACATTCGTGATCTTTCCCTGTCCTATTCCCGCACAAGTACCTACAGTCAAGCATGTTTCCCATCATCTTCACAACTCCCGTTATATGTTATAGAATCGGTTTCCCTTAAAGGTTTTAAATCGCATATAAGCTCGCGTAAGTCAAAAGCACCAGGATATTTCTCATTTGGTAATAGAAAACTCAATGTAATTCATACCCAGGTAAGATATTCAAATAGTAGATTAAATGATGATCTATATAGGATTGGTCTTATAGAGAACCCTGAATGTAATTGTAAAATTACCTGTGAAAATCTCATCATTATTTTATGGAATGTTCTTTGTATTCTTATATCAGACAGGAAATGTTTCAAAATATAAGCAGAATTTGTAACATTAGAGTGCCAACAAACCTAGACGTACTATTAAATGGCAGTGCAGATCTTCCGTACAGTGACAATATTCAGATTTTTAAAGAAGTTCAAAAAAATATATATTAAACTCCAAAAGGATCAGTAATTGGATATAATGTTTATGATCTAAATATTTCATGTATTCAATGTATTGATTTATTTATGATGTCTAATTCTCCTTTTGTATATATCTTTCTATCCCTGTACATATAGTTTGTTTCACTTGAATAAATATGTTTAAAACCACGGACTTTGTGTACCCCTCTGATAAGTGTAAATTGGCACGGCTCCCACGGTCTAGACTACCAGTTGTCGGACTTTCTTTGTAATTCATACCCAGCTAAGATATTCAAATAGTAGATTAAATGATGAGATCTATATCGGATTGGTCTTATAGAGAACCCTGAATGTAATTGTAAATTTACCTCCAGAAATTCGCATTATTACTTTTATGGAATGTTCTTTGTATTCTTATATCAGACAGGAAATGTTTCAAAAAATATTAGCAGAATTTACATAACATTAGAACGCCAACAAAACCTAGACGTACTATTAAATGGCAGTGCAGATCTTCCAAAATAGTGACAATATTCAGATTTTTAAAGAAGTTCAAAAATATATATTAAACTCCAAAAGGATAAGTAATGGGATATAATGTTTATGATCTAAATATTTCATGTATTCAATGTATTACTTTATTTTAAATGTCTAGTTCTCCTTTTGTATATATCTTTCTATCCCTGTACATATAGTTTGTTTCACTTGAATAAATAAACTAGTGTCCAAAAGAAACGATACCACGTGTTTCAAAGATCACTAAATGAAAACAAAACAACATAGACATTTCAAATTGATATCTTTCATTAGATAAATGATTTTACGGCATGTGTACAAAAAGTCATTGCAACCAAAGATTTACAATCATTAACACAGGGCTTTAAACGAAGTGTGGTGCCCAAAATTGAAATTTCATTTTAGCACAGTGGAGGAGGCTAGTGAGGGTAGTCTCTGAAAACCGGGTACCACTTTAGTGTACTGGGTATGTCCACCAGCAGCTGCGATACATGCCATGACACGCCTCCGCGATTGATGACGTCAAACGTCGGATGACGTTAGGGGCGATTTGGTTGCCACTCATCCTGGAGACAATGTTCCAATCTGTTGGAGGTTGGCTGGGGCGCAGGGCGTTTTCTCGATTTTCCGATTGAGGTGATCCCATGCTCAATGGGATTCAAATCCAGAACACGTATGGCCATGGCAAAACCCGTATGTTGGCGTTGGCAAGGAAGTTCTGGTCAATCTTTGCCGTATGAGGCCTAGTGTTATCGTGTGCTGGAACACGATTCCTCCTCGATGCTGCGTTGGCCGAATGACTGCATGACTGGTCGTAAAACCTCATCCTGGTAACGCTGTGCGTTCAGGGTTCCCCCGAATAACAGACGAGCCTCGTTTTTCTACATCACCGCAGATACTTCCCCACATCATTACACCTCCGCCTCCAAATGCATGGACTTTCTGGATGCAGTTCGGCGCCAAAACGTTCACGAACTCTTTCGGTATGGGCCTCGCTGCCGACCATCGTTCTTGTAAAGGCAAAACCGGCTTTCGTCCGGAAAACAAGACACGTGCCGCTCACGTTGCCACCGCCGGAACATCGCCTGGCCCATATCATCAATCGGTTGATCTCTGCTTTGACGTGTCAGGTAGGCTCCGCGGTAGGGGCGACGTGCACGGATACCATGTACCTGCAGTCTCCCCAGACGGTTTGTCGACTGATCCGGTGTCCCAGTCCCGTCGCCGCCGTTAACTATGTTTAAAAAGCACGGACTTTGTGTACCCCTCTGATAAGTGTAAATTGGCACGGCTCCCACGGTCTAGACTACCAGTTGTCGGACTTTCTTTGTGGAAGACGCGGTGGCTGGGGAGGTTAGGCGGCTGACTTTGTGTGCTGGCGATTAGGTGCCTGACTCTTAGACTGTGGGTTCGAATCCCGGATGAGACTCAACCCAACAAAAGTACTAGAATCTTTACTTTACTAAGAAAGTGTAATCCTCAAATATAACGTATGTTACATTTGACCACTTTCTAAATGACATTGTGTATTCGTAGCGGAGCATAGGTATGATCATGAAGGACCAAGGTTAATATTTTGGCAGTTTGGGATTCGAACTCGCGTCAAGCCAGTTCCAGTACAACATAGTGAGGTACGAAGACCAGAGTGCCAGTGTGTCCTACTAATCCAATGTAGTTAATCGGTGCTGCATTGATATGTAGGTGGCGTAATTACATTATCCCCCTCCTCTACCTGCACTGAGGCGTGTTTGAGACCTAAGGTAAATGAGGCAGTTCTAATTTTACTGTAAACAATAACCCGTCTTTAAATTGCACTGAGACATTTTGAGATTGCTAAGTACGAGATGGTTTTCTCGATGACGCCTTGTTTAAAAGGTTACTTGTGGCCGTAAGAAACTGGTAATTCTTTACGCCAGACATGGAACACACCATACTGGATATTACTGTGGACTCTCGGAGAAAGGAAGTCAAATTGTATCGATTTATTTTCATGTAATCCATTTCGATAAACGATTCTGAGTGTCAGGTCATAAGATTACCGAGCCTTTCACTCGTAA